AAAAAATATCGTTCTTGGTTGTGACACACAATGAGAGCGGTATCGTGGAAAAACTCAAGTCGTTCGGTATTGGTGGATAATCATTATCGGCACGATGGTGCTTAACTAAACGTTTTAGATTATGTTTGGAGGGTAATTGCGCTTGTGCAAGAGTGGAAAGTGCACCGAATGAATTTGTAACGATATTGGCTGGTGGTCCGTTGCTATTTGTTGCACGATAACGAAGATCTTCATAACCTTTGCGAACTTCAAGCTTAATAGCATTTGCAGAATGTAAATGTGATTTATGGTTAACAAAAATAACGGTATTAAGTAAATCTGTATGCACACGAGCTTCACATTTAATATTTGAATCGCGAGATTTTTCACATTTCCAGTAAATTTTGGTACCATGCGTTTTGTCACGAATATAAGAAAATCCATCATGAATTAGTAAAGGTTTTGATTTAGAAGTTGTAGAAAAAGTAGCCATGTTTATAGTGCAAATAGATTGTTTCAAGTGTAAGATGTATACATGTACAGAAGTTTATATATAGCATTGTCTATCATGCGGTCTCTTTTGTTGATTTCTCTTTTTATTCTATTTTTATAGTTCTATTCATTAATTAAGTCTTAATTAATTCTAATAGTTGACTATTTTAGCTTTTCTGTGATCTGTTCTCCTTTTGATCATCTCTTATCATTACCTATTTCTCGTCTTTGTATCAATGTATCAACGTGAATTTTAAAATGAGTTATAGTCTTATTTTCTCTTATAAACCGGTACAAACATGTATAACTGAAAATTTAAGGAGGTTCAAGAAGCAAAACTTCAACAGAAACGTTATGCAGATCATAATAAACGCTTAATAAATCTAATTAAATATCCTCATCCCAATATAGAGCAACAAATAGCTGCTATAGCTCATAACATCCATTTATAAATTTTATGTTTCAAACAAAGCAGTTTTTTGTGTTCATCTTTAATGTTTCTCTTGTTCTATACACTGCAAATAATACTGGTAATTTCTGTTTGGAAAATTCGAGGAAGTTTCCGTTCGAGGAAACTACATTCGAGGAAATTATTTTCGAGAGTATCGCTTTCGAGGAAATTTCATTCGAGCAAATTTCCGCCATTCCTGATTCAAGTACCCTTGATGGTTTTTCTGCAAAAAAGTGCTGGAAACTGATTTACTGTTGCGGTGAATATCTCAAAGAACAAAAGCAAGCGTCGCTAAAAACAACTTGAACGCGACTAAATTCCACAGACGTCATAGACGAATGACTATGATCGGGTGGAATTACAGTCTTCATCCTTCTTTTCTCTCCCTTTTTCTTTTTCTTTCCGGTACTGACCTTCCGCGTAAGTGCCATGCGTAAATCCTCTTCGTCAAGAGTGGCTGCTTTTGAGTAGTAGTCTAGAGCCAATTGAAAGCGACCTTTGCACTTAAATATTGTCCCTAAGCAATCATATAGTATCGCTATTATCTTAGCATGGATTTGTGGTTTGTGTCGAAGAAAACAGACTTCGTCAAATGTTCGAAGTTCGTTCAATTCGAACAGCGGAATACTGGATCTGTTCAAATTTAAATCGAGTGTGACGTATGATTTTTTTGGGAAGTTAAGCTCACGAAGTATGCATGCAACACCAGCACAAAACGTTGCGGATTCCTCGTCAACTTCTGCTCTTGGATTGTGCTCTATATCAGCACCTGTTTCGACAGATTGAGACTTCAAGAAGCGCAGAGATAGTTCGAGCTCCATCAGACGCTGATCTAAATCGATGCGTATACCATCCGGCTCCCCATTGACTGAACATTGAACGCGCCATACACGTTCCTGCTCATCATAGTCGACACTGTTCGCTGTGAGGATGTGGAGAGGAGCGAAAAGAATTTCGCGCTCGTCCACATTGTAGCTAAGATGACCAATATCGGCGACGCCGATCTGTGGTTCCAACACATTGCAGTTAATATCGAATAGAACTGACTGTACGGACGAGTCTGCTTCGTAGGCTCCTGCTCCCGAGAAGGCGAGAGCGACATTCAAATCTCTCGTCGCCGACAAGAAACTGGCGGCAAACATCGGCTGCAAGGCGTATGTTTCGTGTAAAATCCTGATTTCCTCGTTACTCATTAACTGACCCCGATATATATGATCGTGCAACCACGGGGGTTGGTTATTCTTCGTCTGCTCGCCCATCAATTGTTGACAGAGATCGTAGATGAAGAAATGAAGAAGCAGAATGCCAGCTTGATTCTGTTGACGCAAGACTTCGTTGAGCAGACGGTAGAGAAAGCCATCGCGGGTGTACCAACGGATAGCTTCGGTGGGAACGTAACTGGCGCTAAATTCTTCTACGACGTTGAGCATAGACGGATCATTTCGGTATAAGAATCGGCACTCTTCAACAAACATCTCCTTTCCTTTTCTGACCGGAGCTGTTTCCATCATAATCTCGAGCAAATTGGAAAACCAGTCAGAGGGATGACGAATACGCCGAGTAGATCGGGCCAAAGTTCGTCCTTTCTCTGAGGAGGCGACTGGTGTATGCGCTAAAGTCTCGGTAGGAACTAGTCGTAGACGTGACGCTATACGGCGGACCATAAGAGCTTGAGATCAGAGTATATGCCTTTCACCTAGAAAGAAACATTGTTATTTAGGGAAGATGATCTCAATTAAAGTTTCAAGCTGGTTTCTAGGTTCCTTGAAAGAGGAAGCTCATAGGGATTAAGGAAAAATAGTCTTGGGTTCTGTTTTTCGATGTTTCCTGTTTCAAAGAACTCGAAAACTCACGGGAAACACCGAAAAACAGAACCCAAGACTATTTTTCTTTAATCCCTATGAGCTTCCTCTTTCAAGGAACCTAGAAACCAGCTTGCCTCATACTCTAGAAAATATTATGGATTTCCGAGTTTCCGGAAACAGAAAGTGGAAACAGCCGCCTCTAACAGCCAGTGAACATCATAATCAGGATGAAAATTTTGATGATCCATTGTTTAAAAAGTAATTGGTTTCTCACTTTTGTCTTTATAGAATTTTCACGAACTTGCACGTGTCTAGAAGTTTTGCTTTTTTGTGCAATTAATCTCGATTCAATTGACTTTCAACATTCTTGGAATGAGTTTTATTATCAGAGTTATGTGATTGTTAAACTCTTCCAGTACAAAAAAACTACAGAAGTTAATGGAATGCTGTGAAAGTTGTTTTCAAATAATCGCAGAAATGAAAAGACCTGGAAGTTCACACTTGATGATCCTTAGGGTTCTCTCTCACTAAATAATATTTAATGTTTATCATACCTTTTCATGATTATTCAAAACGTTTGGAGGATTTTCACTTTGCTTTTTGTTATTGAATATATAGACTGAGTGTACCTGAGACATATTGGCTAACATATCAAAATTGATTCGCGAAGCCGAGACTGAATTTCGCGACAGGATGAGTAGAATAGTGCTACACTCCAAATGGCACAAATACTCCATACATGTATCAGCATTGGGAAAATACAGAAGATAGTCGACGATTCTGTGGAGCCGTGAGAACTGTTCGAAAAGATTGATATGAACTTCGCCTAGAAAACAGATGCGATACTCTGATCGACCAAGTTCGGAGAAAGCTCAGCTTCGTTTAGGGTTTTTGACATCCATCGCAGTTGCTGCTTGTTGCTCGTCATTGGATTGTTGACGTTTCATCGCTAAATGATCGATCGAAGTCTGAATGTGCGTAATTGTATATTATAATACGATTTGTGGAACTACCATATTTAGATTGTTCACTTAAACATAAATAACATTGCAATATTTAAAGTTGAAAGACATAATACCGTTAGTTCAAGTTCTTCCAGATTAATACTGCTCGATTACGAATAGTATTCAAACTGTTGCTCGAGAAAAAAAGAAAAAAAACTATTCTCAGTCGCCATCGCGCAGCATCCATAATCTTTTATTTTTTTTGCTCGTTCTGGCCTTGTTTACTACCTTTTCGGTAGAAGAACGCAGAAAGGTGAAATATTCGTGCTGCTGTGCGAGCAGTCAATAAACGATACCATTTTAATGCGTTACTTCGATACATACAGTGTCTCGTGAAGAGACAGGTATTGTTTCAACGCACAGTAGGCAATGTTGACTATACACGTGAACATGTGCTATAATAGCAAATTAATAGACGAATAATACTTATCTGAAGAGAGAGTCTACCAAAGCTTCGCATAGGACGAGATCGAAAAAAACCAAGGTAGATCTTTGCGTAATTTGAGGACCACGTTTTGTGTACCACATCTCTTATGTAGAATATATACACAGAATAGCTGAAAGTTTAATTATAAATCGAAAAAGTGTGTTATTAGAACGAAAGAAATGCCCAAAATTGGGACTTAAAAGATCATAATTCTTCAGAAATCCTACTTAATTCTTTATCCCATTAGAATGAGCATAGTTCAAAACTATTAAGCGCCAGATTTCATCCAGTTTCATTAACATGTGCCGAGTATAGTCTCGACAGTTTTCTAATGAAAGACGCCTGTCTGCGTATAAAACAAAACCTCGTCCACTTTAAAACGTACCGTTAGCCCATTCAAGAACTGAAAGCTGATCTTCAAAAAATTGACCGTTGCGTCTGAGCTTTTACCATTATCTTTGTGTTCTGTTAACCTTTTACTCATGAAGTCATCAGCAACATCTGGCATATATTTAATTAATTTTCTCATTGGTGTATAATCATCTTCGAAATTCTCACTGAGTTTTGGAAATAAACGTTCTTGCCATGTTCGTTCACTATTTATTTCTTCTAATTGTGCATTTTTTATTAGCTTAGTCCATAGATCTTCATCTTTATGTTGTTTATTCAATAAATATTCTTCAACAATTGTTTTATGTCCTTGTGTTATGGCTATTTCCAAACAATTATAACCTCCTTTATTTTAAACCTTTTCGTTAACTTAATATTTTTGCTGCTATGCAAGGATCAATGTCACGTTGTTTCAATAAATACTTTTCGACATTTAAATGACCACATTTACTGGCTAAATAAATTGGAGTTTCATTCTTACTATTTACACGATTGACAGTCCATTTTTCTTCTATAAAGAATTTAACAACATCATCGTGACCTTAAATAAAGAAATAGACAAACAAACAAATCTTTCTAGTTTGCTTACTGGAATTCTATTAAATTAAAATTTAATTAAAAATTAATTAAATCGGAGTTAAATTAATCGGAGTTATTAATTAAAATTTATTAAACTCTCTATTTTCGACACTTGACTTGATGACTTCCCAGGTGAATGCAAATGAGGTATTATTGAGCCATCAATGGCCAATGAATGTTATGACAGAAGGATGATCAATTAATGATATACAAACGAGCTGGAAATGGTCTCATTTATTGGTTGTCTATGATCATTATTAAAAATGATATAAAAATTGACCATCAATGATCAAGTCAGAAAAAATGCGCAACGAATGCTGATAAAATGATCATTCAGTAGTGCACATTTTAAGATCTTTTTTATGCCATTAGCTTACTGTCATTTATGTGCGCGTACTTATCCGATTTTCTACGCGGTTTTTGTATCATTTTTGACTTATTATGAAATGACGATAAGTGATACATGATAATGACGATTTGCTTGAGATCATATTAGCAGTGATAAAACCAAATAGAATATACATATTACCTATGATTAATTATCACAGTTAATATGTACTTTGATGTGTTATATTTAAGAGTTAATAAAAGGTTATCTATAAAAAAAATAAATAAAATGGAGAAGAAAAGATAGATTTTATATATTTTCTCTCTCATACAAACATCAAAGAAATGCTCTTTACATTCTACAATTGTTACGTTTGCTCCGTTTGTTACGTTTGCTGCGATCGTAATTTTGACGGCTTCCCTAACCTGGAAATATCAGCCTGATTCGTTGCTTTCCTCGAGCGTGGTGAAGCACGTACTGAGAGCCCCTCTGATCGAATCATCAAAAAGCGACTTCATCCAGAGCATGTCTTTTTTGTCGGTCTTTAAAATGGCTTGACCGTTTAAGTAGTATCATATGGGCTAATCCATGGAACATTTTGTTATGATCTGCCTTCCTCGGCAGCTCATAAGGTTCATTCTCTCTCCATTCTGCTCTTATACCATTCTTGCGCAATTATGTTATTGCGCAACTCTTCTTTCATTCTTTCTTTTCGTTTCTTTCTGTTATTGCGCAACTCTTGCTTCATAATGGGATTGTCCTAAACTATTTCTATTCTTATGTAACTCATGCGCAACTCTTACAAAACTGTTGTTCAACTTTTGTACTATATATAGTCGTTATTTTCCTTCAAATAAACGTATCGGAGTGAGAGTTGATTCTCACTATAGCTTCACTACTACGATTAGAGTTAGCCACTAGAGGATCGATATCCTCACACATTTACCACTTTATACAGAAGTGTTTTCAAATGGCGTCAAACTTAGAGGGTTTGTAGAGTTTTGTTGGCTGGTCAGTTTTGTCATTACCTGTTTTTATAGAAAGCTTCAATTTCAATGTAAAATAGAGCAACGGGAATTAAAATACTGAGCGACACTTACTGCAATTTTTTTGCTAAAAAAGTTCTCTCAAGTTTAGTTCGTGCCGTATTTTGACCATTTTTCGACTCCAAGCTACTCGTATGGAAAGTTCAGTCTCAGATTTACATTCACAAAGAACGTAAATCATCGAGATCAAGAATAGGAAAATCAAAATCTGCTTCATCCATTTTTTCCCATTTCGATTTTGAACTTAATTTTCCGAATTCCACCCGTTTTTTTAAATCATTTTGCATTGCTGCACGTTGTTTGTCAAACCATGATCCATTTTAGATAGACTATTGTCGTGAATTACACCAAATGTTGTAATGTAATTGTCTGCTGCCCATTATTAATTCGGCAGTTGTTGATAATAGTCGGTTACGCATCTTAGTTACTAAAACTGAAGGTCTATCAATCACGCAAACTGCCACTCGGTCAATCATTGTTCATTTTGTTTTAATTACAACTATAGAGCCTTGAGAAAAACGGAAACGACAGAAAGTCATGTAGAATAAGATTCAAATGTTCATTTCAACTGAATCCTTCATCAAATATCGGAATGATATTTTTCGAGTTCATATGCTACATAACAAGAAAAAAAGAAAGTCACCACTGGTTGGTTCGTCCAAAAGGATAATCATGGGCGAAACAACTAATTCCATTCCAATATTCGTTCGTTTACATTCTCCTCCAGATAATCCCTGAGTAAACTGTGTTCCCACTAGTGAATCAGCACATTCGTTTAATCATAATTGACATTTGACTTGATTAACAATATTTCGTTTCTCTTCTTGTGTTACTAAATTTGATGAACGCAAATTTGCTGAAAATGTTAAATTCTCACGTACAGTTAAAGTGTCACTGACAATATTATCTTGAACAACACAACCACTGCGATATTTGAAATCATTTAATTGTGGGTCTCCATCAATAAGTACCTTTCCAGTTAAACCTTGTCGATTACATCGGAAGAGAGAAAGAGGGAGAGGAAAACAAGACTTTCCAAGTATTGCGTTCATTCCACTTTGAATAATCCAGAAATGTTATACAAAACTTGTTTCCTTTTCCTTTTTATTAATGGTAAATAATCCTGAATACTTTTAGTATAATTAATATTACAAGATGATATAGTAGTTGCTCCAATTGAATCGCAGTTGTTCGTTAATTTACTAATATCTGCAATCGCCGTTTCTTGTTATTATGTATGTTCAAGTAAAAACACTATTTTATTCCAGCAACTAAGAAGAGAAAAAGAAAACTAACTGTGACGTGCAAAATAGTACCGTGCACTTAGAATCGGGACCAGTCTAGTTTATATCCGCCACCTCTCCCACTCCACGATTTTCTCAATAATAATCACCCGCCACCCCGTAACGCGTACTATGCAGCACGAACGTTACGCCGGATCAGTCGCCAAGGCACGCCGGCACCACGCAGCGTATCACAAATTGAATCTGTACCCATCCCTCAACCTCTACTCCCTCAAGCTATACTCCCTCCATCTAAACCCCTACCTCCTCCAGCTAAAAAATCAAACACCCGTCGAAAAAAGAAGAAGCAAACCAGTCAACCTGCACCCAAAATTACAACTGCCACTCAAACCGACAAAGCACCCAACCTTCCTCGAACTCTTTTTCTAACCTCACAGCCTGTCAATAAAACTTTGACCTCCAACTCAATTTATTAGCAGCAGAATCTGATAATCCAGATCTTATCCGATTGAAAATCGAGCAAGAATTACATAGCATAGTAGAAACATTTCTAAAAATCCATGACCTATCGTGTCAAAGACGCAGCGGAACGCTACGCCGGCAACATGATATACAAGAATTTCACTCGAACTTAAAAACTAAATGCCATCACTATATCACAGACAATCCCACTCACGTAGACCCATTGCTTAAATGTACCGAGATCCTCATCTCGCACGATAAAATTAACGTGATAAAAGAACGGAAATGTATGTTCGAGGCTCGTTTTAACGCACCAGCACCCCCTCCTTTCCTGAACAAACTCGACATAGACCTCCAGTATAAAGGGGACAAAACGAACCCTAAATTTCTTGAAGTTCAAGACAACTGGATAACGGCCATTAGAGAATGTAAATACAGCCTAACACAATGTCTGATCCGAGCGTCCGATATTGAGTATGAGGAGTCTCTCCCTAATATATAGGGTGGGCACTATCGTATGGTAGTAGATACGGCTGTGCTGCTAACTTCCGAAAAATGGTAGTCCGAAATTTGACATCCGGGTATTCGGCATGGATAGTTACATCTAGGTAATCCACTCTCATACCAATTTCGTAG